TTTAAATTTTACTTTTTGGAGCCAAAATTTTTCACCAATTGATCCAAAAAAAATTAAAAATCAAGTTTTTCCCACTTCAATTTTCCTATATATGTTGTGTAAAATGTTTTTTTATATTTTTATATATAAATTCTTAAAGCAAACATGACAACATCACAAAATATTCAAATTCCATTACTTCAAATTGATCTAAATTTTCCTGTTGAATTTGATGTTATTGATAATGAAATTAGACGACAAATGAATTTTAGTTCTAGTTCGACAAATCATTTGTTTTTTTATTTAAATGGTGCATAACTCCTTTATTTGGATCTTAATTTTTCTCAATTTGGCCTTCACATGTTTTGATTGAGTCATCTATGTTTACATCCTTTGAACTTTTTGAAATGTCATCTTCCTTGATAAAATTTGTTGAAGCTTCAACTTTCAAGATTATTTTTGATTTTTTTTTTATCTTTTATTTTTAATTTGTTTGTTGATATTTTTTTTTCTAAATCAGATTTTATAGAGTAAGTAGTGAATAAAGAAAGTAGTTAATTAATGAATGAAGTACTCTCCCAATGAAATCAATTACTTGTAGATTTCCTAGGTTAGTCAAAGTAAATACATTTTCAAGATTAATTAATTAATCAATCAAGGGTATAATGGGTAAAATATGATAATTTATGCATAAATTTTATAAAATGACATATATTGTGGTCCAGATTTTTTAGAAAGGGGTGACTTATAATATGGGACGGAGGGAGTATATTCTTATCACTTCTACTTTCAATATATTATATATCTTACCTTCAACTAAAAGTTTTCTTCTATATATTGAGGAAAATACACTTAGATACATGTATTTTTGCTACCAAATACACAAAAATAAGGAGAGCGGCGAGCGAGATGAGAGATGTGAAGAATGAGAGTGGGATTTGTTATGTATCTCAGATACATGCGAATCCACTTGGATACAATGTATCTAGAAGAAATTACACCTAATTTTGACTTCTTGTATCCCAGATACATGTATCTGGACGTATCTGGACACATCAAAATCTGATAAGATACATAATATTACAATCTAGAATGTATCTAAGTAATTACTCCCTCCGTATCACTTTATGTAATATATTTTATTTTTCGAAAGTCAAACAGTTTAAGTTTAACTGAAAATTTGCTCATGGAATTTTCAATTTTTTAAAAATGAAATTTATATATTTGTAAACTATGTAAGAAATACTATAAGTCACAATAATTGTTAATTCAAAATATCTAAAAATATTTTAAAAATTGAAGATGAAGTTTCGACACATGACTGAAATTAAGTTATTTTTGTTTGAAATTCAACTATATAGGTTTGAAGTTCATACACATATGATTGCAGTTCAAGTATATATATAATTCATGTAAAAATGACTATATGCATACCATTTTTCTTGAATTTCAAACAAAAATGAATGAATTTCAAATACCACATAGTACTCAATGTCACTGATATATACACTCTCTAAAATGTGGATATAGATTAATGTGGTATCAAAATATGTTATTCCGTGAAGTTTTTACTCCATTCTAAATGCCAGACATTCCATAGTTCTATTTGGGCCTCGTAAACCAACTCTATGTAAAAAATTCATGAGACGACACCTTATTTAAGGAAAAAATAAGCAAATACTTCATAAAAGTAAAATAATTATAAACATATACCTCTTTACATTCATATCCATTAAATAATTATACTATATATCCCCTTATTAATTTCGCTTAACTGATACTAAATCAGTAGCATATAATATTGTATTGGTATCATTACGGTTGGTAATTTCGCTTAACTGATACTAAATCAGTATCATATAATATTGATATAATATTGTATTAGTATCATTACGGCTGGTAATTTCGCTTAACTGATATTAAATCAGTATCATATATCGTATTGGTATCATTAAGAGTGATAATATCGCTGAATTGATACTAAATCTTAATGATATCATAAAATATCTATATACTCTTATAGTATCATTGACTAATGAGTAATTTCTTAACAAGAAACCTTAATGATACCACAACAATATGCATATATACTCTTATAGTATCGTTGACTAATAAATAATTTCTAAACAAGAAACTTTAATGATACCAATACAATATATATATACTGATTTAGTATTAGTTAAGCGAAATTATCAACCTTAATGATACCAATACGGTATATGATATCGATTTAGTATCAGTTAAGCGGATATTATCACCTTTAATGAATTAATTATTAATCACAGCTTTCCAATGCATACTGATCAGATTGACCATTAAGTTGATGAGTTAATATCATAGATGATCACTCAACTTATACTTCTTTTCATAGAAAGTCACTCAATTATCATTTATAACCTCAAAGTCACTCAACTATGGATTTTTCTCACATAAAGTCACTTAACTAATAGTTTTTTTCATAGAAAGTCACTCCACCTACTTTTATAACTTCAAAGTCACTCAACTATGAATATTTTACCTACAAAGTCACTCAACTATTGATATTTCATTTAGAAAATCACCCAACCAATTTAAATATGTTTTCATTAAATTTTGTTAAAAAATAATTTTAAAAAATAATAATAATAATAAGATGCTCATTTTAATTAAATTATTAAAACATAATTTGTTTTAAACTAATTTCTGAAAAAATAATAAGATTCTCATTTTAATTATTTTATCAAATTTATTGAAACACAGCTTTTATTTAAAACTGATTTCTTAACAAAAACAAACGGTAAGATACTCATTTTAATTATTTTATTTAATTTTGTTTAAATACCAATTTATTAAAACGATTTTTTTAATAAAAATGTTATGCTGCCAGGCACCAGCACTAGCAACGGTGGATGCAACGCAGTGATTAAAAAAAAATGCTACCGTGTAAATCTTATTATTTTGTATTAGGTTCACAATAAGTTATTATTTCTTTAAAAATTAGTTTAAATAAAAATTGTATCTCAACAAAATTTAATAAAATAATTCAAATGAATATTTATTAGTTTAAAAAAATATAATTTAAAACAACTTCAATAAAATTTAATAAAATAATTAAAATGCGTATCTTCTATTTTTTTATTTTTTTTAAAATAGTTTAAAACGAAATTTGCGTTTCAATAAAATTTAATAAAAAATTAAATGAGCATCTTATTATTTTTCTTTAAAAAATAGCTTAAAACAAAATTTATATTTCAACAAAATTTAGTGAAAACATATTTAAATTGGTTGGGTAACTTTCTAAATGAAATATAAATAGTTGAGTGACTTTGTAGGTAAAAGTTGAGTGACTCTGAAGTTATAAAAGAAAGTTGAGTGACTTTCTATGAAAATAACTATTAGTTGAGTGACTTTCTGTGAGAAAAATTCATAGTTGAGTGACTTTGAGATTATAAATGATAGTTGAGTGACTTTTTGTGAAAAGAAGTAGAAGTAGGAGTAACTCTTAAGTTGATTGAGATTATTTTTTCTTAAAAACGAAGATTTTATTCAAACACCTGAGATTTGAAGTTAAAAAAAAAAGATATTTGGCAATTAAAATTTATTGACTTTACATTAAAAATATAAGTACATTTTTGTTTCACGCCATATTTATGACATAATTAAGAGGTCGAACTTGTCACGTGGCTTATTATTTTTCCGTTGAAAGAATCGTGTACGCAAATGGTCTTTATGAATTAGGATTAATTTAATAAGTACAATTTCATCGTATTACCTTTTTTTAAGTCTAGTTTAAAAGATGTCTCTTTTTATATTGGGATTTTTTAATTTTGACTTTCCATATGTATGTTTAAGATAAAAAAATTAAAAGACATTTTAATACATTCTACATGACAATATTCTTTTAAAATTTCTTAAACTTCGTATCAAATCAAAACCAGACAAATAAATTATAACATAGGAAGTAGTTTATTGTCACGTGCATTTGTCAACCAATTTTTAATTGTTGGTTAAAGTTATTCGGGTATAAGTACTAAAGAGATTAGTCTTGTGGGTATATATTAATGAAATTAGCTATCGGAGTTTAGTTATTCATGTAATAGTTATTTCATTTTCAGCTATGTATTATATTATCTCATAACTTATACATATACTCTCTAATCAGTGGCGTACGCAGGATTTTTTCTAAGCGATATCACCATTAAAGGTACAAGAATGGCTCAAGTAGAAAAAAGAACAAAAAAACATGAATAAAAAAGGAGAAAAAAAGAAAGAACAAAAAAAACATGAATAAAAAAGGAGAAAAAAGAAACGCCCATGTAGGGGATCAAACTCGAGTTGTCACACCTAACAGGCAACGCCTTTGCCATGAGCTAGGAGTATTTTCTTACAAGGGGTGTACTTTCAATTCTTTTAACCTTTATCTTTTATTTTTTATTTTTTTATACAGGCATTTTCCGTAAAAAATTTCGACGAAGCCGTGACCTAGGTAGATCCGCCCGTCTCTCATAACTTATACATTAGTTATGCGAGATTGAAGCCAGTTTCTACATACGTATTTGATGTACTAAATTTTATACATAGCAACTAAGATGTTACCAAATATAGTTCTAGTTATAAATTATAATGGTTTAAATAGTACTCCTTAACCAACAACCAAACAACTCTTTACTCATTCTGTTTCTTTTTATTTATCCAGTATGTATTTTAATTATATTTTTCTTCACAATTTATTAATAAAATATTTATTTTTGTTAAGTATTTTTAATAACATTATTAAAATTTAAATTTGACTAAGTCTCTACTCATAATATTTGTCACCTGAAGCACATCGATGAAGATGGGAATGGGACTAATCTTTAGGATAAACATAAGATTTTGTTTTGAAAGGTATACCAAATATTCAAAGAGGTGATTCTTGTTTTTATTTTTTGTAAGGTATACCAAAATATTCAAAGAGGAGACTTTTTTAATTTTAATTTTTATCTTTGTGAAAGGTACGAATACGAAAATAAGTATTAATATTGGCTAATGTCATACAATCCAATGTGAAGGCTGCATTTCGTTAACTTTGACAAAACACAATTTGGTCCATTCTGAATTTCTGATAAGAGAAAAGTTATTCCTAGTTGTATTTTAGTATCTTTTATTTTGCTCTATAAATAGCTTAAGAGATTATAACATCCTCAAATTAATAAAGCAGCAAATTCAAAGAAATTAAACATATAATATAATGGCCTTTTGCAAAGTTGGTATCCTTTCTCTCCTCCTACTGTCTGGTAAGGCAATTTCTTCGATGCATAGTAAAATTTCTTTATAATAACGTTGTTTTTATCTCAATATTTATTGACTGTTATAAAAGAATGTTATTATAAAGAATAACGTTGTTTTTGGGTTTTTTCATTAGGTATATTTCTGTTGGGAATCGAGGTGAAATATGGAAATGCACAAAAGATGTGTCTCCAGGTTTGTGACGATGAAGTTGCTTACATGACTTGCCCTTCTTCAGGAGACGAGCAAATTAGTCCTGTTTGCGTTAACTGTTGCACCGCGGGTGAAGGCTGTAAATTATTCCGCGCTGATGGATCGTTAATTTGTACAGGAACCCCTGAATAATATATACTTCCTTCGTTTCAAAATGTAATGATTAAATATTTATTTTTCGTATTCGTGTGTAATAAGGCCTGAGTTATTACTCAGGTGATTTCTAATGTAATATGTTCATCCTGGCTTATAATAATTTGTATGTGCTTTTGAACATTTCAATTTATAAAATAACAACTATTATATTAGTGGAGTCATGTTTGAAATTTAAACTCCTTGCATGGTAACAGAAGCAGATGAAAATGGGATAAAATAGCTATTTTTATACGTTTCTCTCTTTGTGAAATAAAAAGATTGATGAATACATCAAAATAGCATAGAAAAATGCGTTTCTATGTATAGCCGAAGTTAAAAATTATAAACATTATTTAACCAAGAAGACTCTCTTTCAAGTTTCAAGCAACAATAAAAAATCAAACTGAAAAAATAAACATGTTAATTCATTATGGAAGACTTCCTTCTTTTTTTTTGGTAAACAATATAATTATATTAATAAAACTTCATATGCATCATTACATTGATTAATTTAGTCGACACAAAATTTTCAATTAGATGCTCGAACAGGTCCCTGTCAATTTGAGGTTAGACTTTTGTAAATCGCCCAACAATAGTCAAAAGCGGAGCTAGGTGAGGGTTCATGGGTTCGTCCAAACCCAATAACTTTTCCATAGACTCTATATTTGTACTGAAAAAATAATTAAATATATATGTATATTAACTTATAAACTCCTACTAAAATTAATTAACGATTATTAACGAAATTTAAAAACCTCAAACTCTTAATCCTTGATTCACCTCTGACAGTAATGAATCACTCGACAGACAGCCATAATGCCGTAATAATAATAAATGACAGCTCTTTTGTAAATCGCCCAACAATAGTTAGAGGTGAAGCTATGTGGGAGTTTATGGGTTCGTCCGAATCCAGTAGCTTTTCCATAGACTCTATATTTATACTGAAAAAATAATTAAATATATATGTATATTAATTTGTAAATTCCTAACAAAATTAATTAACCGTTATTAACAAAATTTAGAACCTTAAATTCTTAATCCTTTGATTTGCCTCTGACAGTAGTGAATTACTCGACAGACAGCCCGTAATAATAATATATAGGCTTTAGCTTTGAAAATTACTGAAGGCCTGGTATGGAAGTAGGGGTGGACGTACTATGCTACAGTATTTGAAATTTTGATTCTCTAATTTGGGTTTTTAATTTTAAAAATATTATTATATTATTATCATATTAAATTAATTAATTTGGTATGATTTGATATTTTTAAGATCAGTTTTGTATTATACAGTGTGATAAGTTCGTAACCATAGTTTGTTCATCTTCGACTTATATATACTCATATTATAGAATTATGGCTTCAATTTTTCAAAACAACAACTCAATTATATCATACTAATTAACACCTTACTCATTTAGGTTGTAGCGACTTCCTTTGTTAATCAATTACACACAAAAAAACATGTCAATCAAAATAAAGTAATCAAAATTTCAACGTCTAAACAGTTAGTTTTGTACTAATACTATAATGTAATATATATGATCTTATATATGTAAGTATATATATATCAGTACGGTATTCAATATTTCAATATTTATTTATAAATACCAAATAGTACATATTATACCGTACCGAATATCAAATTAATTTAAAATATATATTGTATACTATATCAAATTCATAATACCGAAACCACGATATTAAAAATTTCAATTTAATATGATAATTTGATATTTACCGTACCATATTCACCCTTCCTATTATTGGGAGAATATTTTCTAGAGTGAGGATATTTATTGATGGTTCACAATTTGCAATCTGCCTTTGTTTCATTGTTGTGTTAATTTAGCTGGTTAATATGTGCTATAATTGTTTGAAGACAAATTACGTTTTGTCTTTGAGTACGTTCCTTTTTCAAATTGAATAGTTATTCTAATTTTTTTCATCACGAGACCGAAATGGTGAAAGATAAACCCTATATATATACCAATTATAAAACATTCAAGATTTGTATTAGCAAAGTTGAACATTATTTTTTATACCAATTATAAAACACGTGTTTTGTGTACTACGTATTTGTCTCAAGAGTCTACTTATAATAATTTGGATCGTAGCACATATATCGATGAAGATGGGAATGGGATTAATCTTTGGGATAAACATAAGGTTTTTTTTTTTCAAAGGTATACCAAATATTCAAACAGTTGGCTGGGTCATACAATCCAATGTGAAGGCTGCATTTGAGTTAAGTTTGACAAAATACAATTTGATCTATTATGATATGAGAAAAGTTATTCCTACTTGTATTTTAATATCTTTTATTTGCTCTATAAATAGCGTAAGAGATTATAAGTTATAACATCCTCAAATTAATAATTACTAGTAAAGCAGCAAATTCAAAGAAACATACAATGGCCTTTTGCAAAGTTGGTATCCTTTCTCTCCTCCTATTGTCCGGTAAGGCTTCTTTCATATATCGTAAAACCTCTTTATAATTAATGACGTTGATTGTTTTGATATTTATTGACTACTACAACATAATATTGTTAAAAAAAAAACCTATAATATACAAACAAACAAAAAAAGACAAAATAGTTCACTTTTACCCTCTTGTTAAATTTTGGCAGCAACTAATTAATTAACAACTCTCCATACAAGCTGACATATACTTTAATATATACTCCAATAGAATTGATGACTTGGCTATCCAACATGAAGAGAAAAAAAATCTCCCTCAATCATGGTCTTTATTTACCCTATTAAGTATCCTAATTCATATGTACCGAAGACTGTTATAGAAAGGTCTGATTGTATTTTATTACACTTTAAAACTTTCAAGCCAAAAAATGTAATCTTGTACGTACCTTGCTGATTGTGTTGATCATTTGGGTGATTTTTTATAGGTATATTTTTGTTGGGAATTGAGGTGGAATATGGAAATGCACAAAAGATGTGTCTCCAGGTTTGTGACAATGAAGTTGCTTACATGACTTGCCCCTCTTCAGGAGATGAAAAAATTACTGAAGTATGCGTCAATTGTTGCACAGCAGATGAAGGCTGTAAATTATACCGTGCTGATGGATCGTTAATTTGTACTGGAACCCCTGAATAATATATATCCATCCTTAACAAAATGTAACCATTAAAATTTAAATTCCTATTCGTGTGTAATAAGGCCTGAGTTATTTTACTCTGGCTGTTTGTAATAATATTTTCATCCTATAGCTATTTTGTTTTAAAGATTTTAATATAAAAATGAAAAGCAGATGCATACTTTTTCTTTCAATAATCGACCAAATGACTACAAGATCATCATCAAACGGAAAAGACAAACTTGTTAGGAGGAGACAGCCAGTATTTTTTTTTTATTAATGGACTATAACTAGTAAATTTATCCGCTCTTCGCCCAATATGAAAAACATCAATTAATTGAGAAGTAATTATTTTACAATTAATTTAGTCGATAATTTTTTTTCAATTTGATGCATATAAGAATGAAATTACAAAAATCCAAACGTCTTCATTAGACAGGCCCTTAATTTCCAGTTTTAGCTAGCAAACAATTAGTTAAGCGGAGAAATCTTAGTAGCTCAGTTCGTTCGTATCTAAATTTGCACCTTGTTGGTAAGAATTCAATTCTCCACTATCCGAATTTTTTTTTAAAATAAAATAAAATTGTTAAATGGTATCCTGATTAGCATCAGAATCTTCCCAAGAAATGGAATTAGTAATAATGGGAACCATCAAGTATCAACATATAGAGGATTATATTATTCATATGAGAAAATTTATAAAAATGTAAATAAATAAGAATTTATTAGACTTGTTTAACATCTTAGCATATGTTCATTAATGAATCAGGGAGACATGAGCATTAATTATTAGAAGATTTAATTACCAAACCACCATAGATTATGGATCTTGATTAATGAAGCTATTTTTTAATTCCAACATAATGCAATCACTCTAAGAAAAATGTTCCAATTTGATTTTGCTTTAGATTGAGACAATACACTGTTTCCATGACTTTAAAAGCAAAATGGCTCAGAATCCCTTAAAATTTATTGGTTTTCTCATTATTTGTGGTATGTTTTTGACAATTCTATTGACCGCCTCAGTTATATTCAAGGACTTACCTTCTGATAGCGTCAAGAATTTACCTAAAGCTAATATTGTTGACGTTAAGCCTCCAAATGGTACTTCATTTCCCCTTTTCTTTAGCTTTTTGTTGTTGAACTTATAGTTGATTCTACTCGATTCACATTCATGTCTACCGCGATTTTAAAGAAAACATTTTCCAGGTTGCTAATGCAATGAAGTGTATTCATTTGTTTGTGGATCTAAAAGTGCTTGATGGTTTGTGCTGTTTAGAGTTGCTTTGCAATATGTAATCACTTTTGTTTAATTTCTTTTTTGTTATTTTCAGCCACAGTTAATTCTCAAGTACAGAAAGATAAACTGCTTGGTGGCCTTCTTCCTTCAGGAATTGATGAAACATCTTGTCTAAGTAGATACGAATCCGCCTTATATCATAAAGAACTGCTTCACAAGCCATCGTCTTACCTCATCTCAAGATTACGAAACTACGAGGCACTTCACAAGCAATGTGGTCCTCATACAAAATTATACAACAGGAGCGTGGAGCTTATCAAGTCTGGCCAATACAATGGATCAGCAGAGTGTAATTACTTGGTTTGGATTTCCTTTAGTGGTTTAGGAAATAGGATGCTAACTTTAGCTTCTGCGTTCCTATATGCTCTTCTTACAAATCGAGTCCTACTCGTTGATCCTGGAGTTAACATGCCTGGTCTATTCTGTGAACCTTTTCAAGACGTTTCCTGGTTGATTCCTCCTGATTTCCCTCTATTCAATCAGTTTAGTACCTTTGATCAGAAATCTCCTCGTTCCTACGGTTATATGGTGAAGCACAATGTCATAAGCAATTCATCGACTCTACCTCCCTACACCTACCTACATTTAGCTAATGACTATGATGATCAAGATAAATTATTTTTCTGTGATCAGGATCAAAGTTTTCTCAAGAAAATCCCCTGGCTAGTCATGAAGACAAATAACTATTTTGTGCCTTCTCTATTCTTGATCCCATCATTTGAGCAAGAATTGAGTAATCTTTTTCCCGAAAAAGTAACCATCTTCTATTTTGTAAGTAGATATCTGTTTCATCCCACAAATTCTGTATGGGGGCTTGTAAAGAGGTACTATCAAGCTTATTTAGAACGAGCAGACGAAAAATTAGGCATTCAAATTAGAGTCTTGGAGACAGATGCCGGTCCTTTGAAGTATGTACTGGATCAAATCATCGATTGTACAATGAAGGAGAATCTGCTGCCACAAGTTAACCGGTCCAGTGAGCCTATAGTCTTCAACCAGTCCGCGAAGCAGAGGAAGACCATATCTGTCCTGATAACTTCTTTATGCCCTGGATACTCAGAAGAGTTCCGAAAAATGTACTGGGAGAATCCCACAGTTACAGGAGAGATAGTTAGCGTTTATCAGCCAAGTCAGGAGGAATATCAGCAGAGTGAGAATCTGTTGCACGAACAAAAGGCGTTGGCAGAAATGTATCTACTGAGTTTAAGTGACAATTTGATTACAAGTGCATGGTCGACTTTCGGATATGTGGCTCAGGGTCTTGGAGGACTGAAACCCTGGATACTATACAAGCCTAATGAGAACAGAACAGCACATAATCCGCCTTGTGTTCGAGCTACATCATTCGAGCCATGTTTCCATGCCCCGCCTAACTATGATTGCAAAAAGATAACGCCAACAGACACTAGCAAAATGGTTCCTCATGTCAGGCACTGTGAGGATGTGAGCTGGGGCTTAAAGCTATTTGAATAAAATGGTGAATTATAGGGCTGTCAAAATTAGCTCAAATACACGTTGGTCCGCCCATTTGACACCTTTAGTGAGTTATAACATTTTTGGTGATCCAAAGAGTGAGTAGAGTAATTTTCTCTTCCTTTGTTCTTGTTGAAATATTAGTACAAAATTGCCAATCGCTTGAAAGCTTCATTAATTGATTTTCTTAATTGGGACCATTCTTAAAACAAAATAACATATCAAACCAATTAAAGACAATTGATTTATAGATAAGTTCGCCAAAATCAGTTTAGTAGTAATAACTCATAACATCGATTATTTATACTCCCTTCATCTCAAATTATTTGTCCTTATTTTTAAAAATAGTTATCTTAAATTATTGATCATTTTAGAGTAATTATTCTTGAAGACTTCAAATACTTCAGTTATGGGGTGGTGATAAATAAGTAGAGTAAATATTCAATAAAGAATAAGGATACAGAACACTTTTTATTTTTTACTAAAAAAATCTTATTATATTCTTGGGGCTTGAGAACAAAATCCATGTATGATATTAACTAATTAGAACTAATAATCAAAAGCACCCCTAGACTTTGAGAAAATTTATTTAGTATCTAGTTATATACATGTCAATATCTATCTTACAAGAGAAAATTTATTTAGTATCTAGTTATTTTCTACTTTTGTTACTTTAAATCTTTTTATAATATCACTTCACTTAGAGGCGGTTCGACGAAATTGATAATTTAACGCGAAGCTTTGAATATTTTTTAATAAAACTTTGTATATATTTTAATTTGAATTCTGTTTTCTTACTTTTTGAGATGTAAAGTTACTAAAACAAATTCTTATAATCAATTTATTTGAAGTAAATATATCAATGTAATCACTCTTGAAACATTATTGATCTTATGTAAGATTTTATCAATTTTAGTTTGAAAACTTGTTTCCGGATATGCAATTGTTACATAAATAGTTAACATTATTTGGTGAGTAATATTAGAGCCAATATACTAGGCTCGTTGGGCTGGGCTGGCCTAACCCGTGATTTGATAAGGCTGAGGTAAGATTTTTTATGTATATAAGACAAGACATAAAAGTCATAAAAAAAATTTCATTCTTTATTTGTAGAAGAATGATACGATTCATTCTTAATTATTTTATCAAGTAGATCATTATTTTTGTTTGTTTAACATCTATGAAAACAAATTTAAGTATATTCAAAATCAATCTATAGATAGATCAATAGACTTTGTTTTTTCGTATAATTTTATAGAAGATCTAATATTTTGACATTTATCGTTTCAATCTATTCTCTTAAATAATTTTATACAAATAAAAAAATATCACTAAATAAGTTATTTAATTTGAATGTATATGTTTTATATGATATTAAACAAACATCGGAGCATGTGATATTTCACTGTTAATTAAGATAACTTCTAAGCTATTGGTTGATTTTATGAAAAATAAAAAAGATATTTTGTTATAGATTGTCATTTCTATTAACCTCAAATATATTTAAGATTGTAATATTGGGCCCGTAAACGGGCCCTTTATTATCTAGTATATATATATATATATGGGAAAATTGTATATAATAACAAACTATTAATTTAAATTAAATGCTACAAATATAGTTTGATTTAATTGTACCCCATAGCAAACTGTTGCTATTTCGTCTCTCTCCTGGTGAATCTCGCTCGCCACTCTCGTTCTCTCCCTCGCCTCTCTCGCTTTTTATAAAAACGCAAATGTATAAAATGCGTTTGTGTTTGTATCAAGCGAGAGAAATTGTATATATACATATATTTTCGTTCCCCTCTCTCCCCTCTCCCAGATCTCGCTCGCTCACTCGCCTCTCTCACTTTATACAAAAACGCAAATGTATAAAATGTGTTTGTGTTTGTATAATGCGAGAGAAAATTGTATATATACATATATTTTCGTTCCCCTCTCTCCCCTCTCCCAGATCTCGCTCACCACTCTCCCAGATCTCGCTCGCTCACTCGCCTCTCTCACTTTATACAAACACAAATGTATACATTGTGTTTGTGTTTGTATAAAGCAAGAGAAAATTGTATATACAAATACAAATGCATATATTTTCGTCCTATACACTTATGATTATACAAATTGATCTTCCTCTGCCAAGTTTTCTTTTGTCTTTCTCTCTTTCTCGTTTTATACAAACACAAATTATACAATTGATATTTTGTATATGTATACCAAATCAGATTATACAACTGTTTTCTTTTGTATAGTATAGTGAAATTATACAACTGCTTTCTTTTGTATATGTATAGCGAAATATACATATTTATGTTTTCTATGGAGTGCAATTATGCAAACTATAGTTATAGCATACAAATATGATTTTTGTGTTTGCTATATGTGAAAGTTTCTCTAAATATTATGGTTACTTGTCACGTTATAAAAGTTTGAACCAAAGTTGTCTTTTTTTAATGAAAAATCTATTATATTGTGGAGGAAAGAGGGAGAAAAAGGGGGACAGTAAGATTCTCACAGATACAATATCAGGAGCGGGATTTAGTGAACAAACTTATGGGTTCAGGTATTTATTGTTTGTAATAAGTATTCGAGGTGTCAAGTGACTCTATTCGTATGCGCATTAGGTTACATCAACGAATACAGTTTGTGTAATCATAGTTTATTCATTCATTCTAACTTCAATTGTATTTTCAGTTGTTCTAATTTTACTTGTTTCATTTGCTTTACTGTATCAATTGTTATCACACATATATTCATTTACTCTAATAGTTGTATCAATGCATACAATCTTTATGAATACAACTACAGCAGGTTGTTGTGTCCACTTAAATTTTCTTCATACACTAAAGGCAAAATACATAAATACAAGGGTGTATATAAGGGTACAAACAATAAAAATACATTGTACAATCAAGATGACAGTGCCAATGTATAATCATTGTCAGAAAATTTCTCCTTCATAATACACAAATACAAGCAAAATACAAAAATATACAACAATGATTTACAAAAAGTTTCAGATCTACAAAATTTATGCAAAAATACAGAGATTAGTCGGAAAATACAGTAAAATGAAATACAAAAAATTCAGAGAGAGAGAGAGAAGTATAGTTATGAATTGTAATTTTTTAAAAGTATAAGTATGAACAACAAATACAATGTATATAGCTATAGCATGTAAGATTTCCATTTTTAGGACTTTATATATGTGTTACAAAAAATTAAAATAATTACTTGAGTGGATCCCTTTTAAAAAATAATTACGTATTTTAAATATACTCTTTAATTATTACCATTTATAGCAATATTTTAAATATTTTATTAGATTTGTCTCTCTCTCTTGCCTCTTTCTCCCTTTTCTCTCTCGCTTTTTCTCCCTTTTTTTTCTTTATGTTGTTCTTTCTCTTTTGTTTTGTTTTTTTTTGTTGCTCTTTCTCTTACTTTTTTTCCCTTTCTCTCTCTATTTTCTTTTGTAGAGTAGTTAATGATTCGTAGACTAAATAAAATTTGTATCAATAATTAATTAATTAGGCAAGTAATCTAATCGTAACAAATGAAGAGACATAATAAATTGCAAAATGAATTAAATTTACATTAAAAATGTATTCCACAAATATTAAAGTTGAATTAGTAGAGAATTAAATATGAATGCAAAATGTAGCAAATCAAATAGCATTCTATGTAAACTGAATGAATTTGTATCAACAATGAATTTCACAAGTAATTCAATCGTAACAAATCAATAAATTACAAAATGAATTAAAATTGTATTTAAAAGTTTATTACACAAATATTAAACAAGTAAATAAATTAAATTTGCTTTAAAATTGTATTACACGATATTAAAGTTGAATTAGAAGAGAAAATTAAGAATGAATGAAAAACATAACTAACGAAAGACAAGACACCGATCTATAAACTGAATTAAATTTGTAGTATTCATGAATAAAACATGTATTATATGTGTCTTATAAATTATTTTGGATTTGTATCACTAAGAACGTAAGTGATGTTTGCAATATGTATTAAAGATGTATTGTGCATATATTATAAGTGTGTTACCTAAATTGTTTTAGTTGATATCATTAAAAAGGGAGTGAAATTTGCAATATGTATTATAAATGTAGGATGTATTGTTCATGATTTTTATACAATTATGAAACATATCTAATACAACTTTAATACAAACCTGATATAGTTCCATAAACTTCATCTTTTTCGTGCTTCAATCTAGTATTTCTCCTAAAATCAATTCTAAACTTAATCAAACCCTCTTAAAATTGAGATATAAACTCCAAAAGATATTTTCAATTATATGTAGGAACAACCTATCCAAACTAATTAAAAACGAAAGAGCAGACAAGTAATCTAATCATAACAAATGAAGAAACATAATAAACTGCCAAATGAATTAAAGTTGAATTAAAAATGTATTACATACATATTAAAGTTGAATTAGAAGCGAATTAAACATGAATGCAAAATGTAGCAAACTAAAGAGCATTATGTGATTTGTAAACTAAATAAAACTTGTATCAATAATGAAATAATCAAGTAATTCAATCGTAACAAATCAACCAATAAACTGCAAAATGAATTAACTTGTATTAAAAGTGTATTACACAAATATTAAAATTGAATTAGAAGAGAGAATTAAGCACGAATAAAAAATGTAACTAATGAAAGAGCAGTCAATGATCTACAAAGTGAATTAAACTTATATAAAAAATGAATTAAACAAGTAATCTAATAGTAACAAATAATAAACTACAAAATGAATTAAATTTGCATTAAAAATGTATACACAATATTAAAGTTGAATTAGAAGAGAAAATTAAGAATAAATGAAAAACGTAACTAACGAAAGACAAGACAATAATCTATAGACTGAATTAAACTTGTATTATTCATGAATAAAACATGTATTATATGTGTTATAAATTATTTTGGTTTGTATCACTAAGAACATGAGTGATGTTTGCAATATATATTAAAAATGTAGTGTG